AATCTTAGAGCAGATATTGAAAAAGGCAATTGCGTTAGAAATCAATTAAAATTGTGGGAAAGTTTATTAGAAGTTAGAATCAAATTACAAAAGTGTCTAGTTACAAGTAATCAAATGCCTCAACATGATATTTATACAAACTTCAAGGAAAATATAGAATATATGAAAAAAGTTAATGAAAGTAGAGATGGATTAAAAATACTTTTAAATAATATGTTGCAATTACAAACTGTTCTTACAAAACAATACCCAGAAACGGTAAATTTGTCCTCACAAAATAGGAAAAGAAAAGCAGAAGAAAATATAGACAGTGAAATGATAAATTCTGATGATGCGATGGATGAAGAAATTCTTTCAGATACTGGAGATGAAAATGATATGGATGACAAATTGGTTTCAGATGAAGATAAAGAACATAATACTAAAAATATGTTCAATGAGAAATTAAAACTTAATAAGTATGAAAAGATAATAAATGAAAGCCATAAATCTTACATAGATTATAGAAATTCTGTTATACAAAAATGGAATGAAAAAACGAAATTAGTTAGCGGCAAGTTGAACAAGGACACAAATCAAACTACTTTGAAGCAAATTGAGTTTGCATTGAGCGATAAAAACAAATTACAGAAAAAAACGCAATTAAAACGATCAGAATATAAAATTGTTGGAAAAGTAGATTCAGTTGAAGATGATGAGGGTAGAAGAGTTCAAGAATATGATCCTGAAATTTATGATGATGATGATTTTTATCATCAGCTATTAAGAGATTTAATTGAACACAAATCAGCAGATGTCACAGATCCTATTCAACTCAGTAAACAATGGATACAATTACAAAATATGAGAAGCAAAATGAAGAGAAAAATAGATACTAGAGCAACCAAGGGCAGAAGAATAAGGTACAATGTACATAATAAATTAGTCAATTTTATGGCTCCTATCACTATAAATGATACATGGTCAGACCAAGCAAAAGATGAATTGTATAATTCTCTGTTCGGTAAAATTAAATCAACAGATAAGTATATCGTTCATTGAAGTAATAATTTACTAATAATTAGTAAAATTATTTAATTTTGTACATTCTAATAAAGGCTATTTTATAAAATGTATGCAAATTTAATAAAAGCAAAATGCCAATATTCTGTACAGTAGAAATAAATGATAGCTTATGTATGTATGAGAAATTGTTTATATTTTTTTATATGCCCTAATTTATTATTCCATCATTTCTTTTATATTTTTCTATTTTTCTATTACGAATCTTCTGTGGAACAGTGAGAAATGATTTTACCAAAATTATCCACATTTTGCGCATATATCTCAGATTACATAGTATCAATATTCAGAAATCTGAATAGAACTGGTGCGAAATCTGAATCTAAACAAGTGATCAAGAGAGATAGAGCTACATTGTTTAAAGTCTAAATCGTTACATATTAGGTTGCTGTCAGATTTTCATGATCTGCAAATGTTTGTTGTTTATTGCATAACCTCCTTCACAGTCTTACTGTGTATTGTCAACATCATATTTTGTCAAAAAGAATTCTCTTCAAATCATGTATTATGTTACCACAAAAAGTTTCAGAATTAAATAATCCAATAATTATGAAATTTTGTAACATTCACCTAATCTGTCACTAATAAATTTTCATTTTTTAAATCTTCTATAACCATGAAATATGAAACTTGTCAATGAAGGAACAACGCTATATTTGATATTTGCTAGTAGAGGTAAGTCACTGCAATTCGCTACATATACAAAATGGTCGACGACCTCCATTTCTCTTCCGTTTTTTTTAATCAACCCCGTGGACTTAGTTACTGTTCTTTAGGTCAATAGTGCCATGTTGCATTGAACACATCCTTTCTCTTAGAGCAGAGCTCGGAATTAATCTGTACATGACAAAAATTTTCGGAGACTGCTCTGAAATGTGCTACAGATTGATAGAGGAGAGGTCTCACAAATGGGATTGGATGATGCCACTCAAAACACATTTTAAAGCAGTCTCCGAAAATTCTCTATCTCTGTCACGTGAAAGTTAATTCCGAATCCTGTCTTAGAGCATGCAAGTCTTTCCTTCACTGAGGTCTTGGCTTTTCTGTACACGTGCCGTGTCTAGTACTACATATGATCTAAGTCATTAGGCGACACTATCGCCTCTACATTCGCTTCTTCCACATTCAATTACAAACACTAAAAACCAGGGTTCTTCTTGTAGTATTTTCTTGATCCATGACCATGATAGATGCATTCTACATTCCACTTCATTCTATCCGATCTGACCGGTGATTTCGCTCGTGGGAGCAGTTCGAAGTTATGGATTTGGCTTGTCAAAATTCGGATTTTAATGCTAAATATTTGCTTGGTCAATTAAATACAGCCAGAAAAGAAATAAATAACTTAAGGTATCGTCTGACTTCTTTCATTACACTATGTCTTTATAAATTCAATGAATTATTTAAAAAGATATCAACAAGTTCTATTCACAAACTTGGGTGTGTGTATGCTATCGAATGTGTACGTATGTGAATGCTTTAAATAATATTTGAATAATACAGTAGAATATCATATACCTACAACAACATATATACATGAGCAAAAATTAATATTTCTAAATTCAAATAATTTATACACATCAATATTGAGTTATACTTATTATAATATTTAAATTAGATTAATATACTTTTAATATTAAGTTATGTTGTATTGTTTTGCAATATTACAGACAGCAAATAAAAACTCTCCGTTATATACACGAAAAAGATGTTGATACCATAAAGCGTCTGTTAGAATCATATAGAAATGGAGCATCAATATCTTCTGAAGCAAAAGTTATATCCTTAGATGACGTTAAACCTAGCACTAGTGCAGATGATGATGCAATAAAATTAAAACCAATTGGTATAATATCCACATGGTTTCCTAGTAAACGTGGTACTCCCAGGCAGACCGGAATTTGTGGAGAAGTACCAGGGAAATTATTGTTGTATAATTCAATATACACTAATCCTGATCATGCTCTTGAAGGATTACAAGACTTTTCACATATGTGGTAGGTAATAGTGTAAGCCATTTTTTGTTTTTTATGGGTGGAACCATCTAATACATCAACAACTGCTAAAATGGAAGATTAATCAAATTTATGAAGATCGAATTTATGGTTTCTTCAGAATATTAAACATCTTTGAACCACTGTTCATAGATACTTGTTAATGGAAAATTAGCAAAGAACTAATTCATCTTTATTTATATTTACAGGGTTTTATTTTACTTTCATAGAAATGAATCAACACATATTCGGGCTAAGGTTGCACCACCAAGACTGAATGGTACAAAAACTGGCGTATTCTCCACAAGATCCCCACATCGTCCATGTCCTATTGGTTTAAGTTTGGTGAAGATCACAAGAATAGAAAATCATACAATTTACTTTGAAGGTGTAGACATGGTGGATCAGTCACCTGTATTAGATATAAAACCTTACATACCACAATATGACAGTCCATTCTCTTTTGAGAAATTCAATAGTGCACCACAGGAATCTAACATGAGTAATACATTTGGTTGTATAGAAGAGAGTAGTAATTTAAGTAGAAGTCCAACCTTCAATACAAACATCGATCTTGCACATGAAACAAGAAGTTTACTTTCAGACTCCTACTATAGAAAGAATACCAATGAAACAAATCAAGAGGCAGATGTTTCTAGAGATGAAGAAATTGCTTTAAGATTACAAGCAGAAGAATTTCAAAGGAATTCAAATTTTGAGAATTATAATAGCATGAGACATTTTTCTGAGTTAAGCGACATTAATTTACATAATAGTACTCCATTACAACATAATGTTGACGTGACTGGTATACACAGAACATATCACTCTTTGTCTGATGTTCCAGTTGATGCAAGAACAAATATGAACATATCTTCTGAACAAAATGCACTTTCGTCAAACTTAGAACAACAATCGGAAAATATAGTAGATATAAGTAATAGATTACAAAATACTAATATAAGTAGTCGCACTAACGTCGAGCCCACATATGCTCCAAGAAGCATAGGACCCAACTATATAGAAGCACACGCCTCTCGCTCTAGACTTCTAGATGGAGCAGATGGATCAAGTACTGTATGCGGCACCGATTTAGATTTAATTTATAGGCGATCATTGAATGCAAGAATCGACAATTCACCTATAAGAATGGGAATCCGGGAAGCTCCTGATGGAGAAGAGGGTTTGGAGTCGCAAACGCTTGTCCCTTCACAAAGCTTGCCAAACGTTGAAGTTGCAAGAACTACGTCAATCAATAACTTACAGGACCCTACAGATACAAATTTAGCTGTTTTCCCTGAATCGAGTAGCATTGAAATCAGAGAAACAGAAGCTAATTATTCTTCGGAAGTAAGAATTCCAGAGTGGATATCAAGACCACGTACACCTTTGTGCGTGAAATTTAATGATCGGGCTTTGATTCAATTAAATGAAATTTTAGGATCCAAGATTAATGACCAAAAGATAGCAATTGAAAATGTACTTCGCGAAGATCCTAGATCTGTTTATTTGAGACAAAGATGGGGCAGTCAATTTTATACTTTCTTAATTCATGATTTACATATTACTTGTAGATTTGACGATAACAGAGGTGTAGTTACTGTTTTTCAAGTTAGACATGCCGGTCGAATTTGTGAATGTGGAGAACCCGAATGGCAATGTTTGGGTCATTCTCCACCTCCCTCATAGTATGCTTATGTCGGTACATGCAATACATATGTAATGTATGCATGTATGTTGCTAATAATGTTAGCTAATTGTACTCATAAATTTATTAATAGTATTCTAAGAAATGCGAATTTTTAATTTATAAAGCTTCAGGGTGTTTTCTATTTCATGAAATCCAACAACTATCATTCCATAATTATTAATTAAAAATTTGTATTATTATCAAATTTAACGTAAACTTTGTTCATATTAATTGATATTTACAGCTGAAATATATTTATTACTTCGTGCAATACATATTTGAGATTGNAATAACAATATACTTTTTTCTAAGACAGTAAGGAACTAGTCTTACATTTTCTGTGTTTGATTACCTAGTTATAATGAATCTTGCCAATAATATTGTACATAAATAGATAAAGGTTTTTTCTCTTTGATTGTAGAGTATTTATTGTAGAATCTTCTACAAACTTTCGTATTGTATAGCATTTTATTGTAATAAAAATGTTCCTATACATTTAATAACGTATTACAAACTTT